TACACGCTATCGTTTAAACAACTACTGTTACACGCTATCGTTTAAACAACTACTAAAATAACTGACTAGTCAGTAATAAACACACACACACAAAACATACATTCAAAAATAAATTACGGTAGTTTAAGATGGCTTAAGATTAAATATGGTTTCCGCGTTTGGGAATTTAAATCTTATTTTTGAGCTGAGGTGGATGGGACGGCGTGGAGCAATTGAGTGGCCATCACTATCACCACACCTCACACCACCAAACTTTTCGTGTTGAGTGGTACAGACTGAAAGATCTTGTTTACAAACTCAAACCGAAAACAATTACTGATAAATTTTCAGAAAATTAATATACAAATTTGCGAAATGATTTGTAGAAGTGTTGCTGATAGGGTTCAGCGTTGTATTGTACCTGAAGGGGAGAATTTTGAACCTGTCTTTTAATAACAAAAATCATGTTTTGTTGTGAAAATTTTTTTCTTAAACTATTTTTGTTCAATAAAAGTTAACATGGCCATCACCTGTATATATTACATATATTTAAACACGAGAATTCATTATCGTTTTCCGAAAAATGAAATTAATTAAAATACTTCTGGATTATAATTCATAATATTAACGTTTTTGAAAATGACGAGAGTTGGTGGACATTACTCAAACAAAAAACATGAACTTTGGAAAGATTCTTTACAAATTTGATTTGGATGTACGGCAGCTTAGACGCAAATTACAAAAAATATACTAAAAGATTTTTAAAAAAAAAACCCCAAAAAACAGAGCTGCTCAATCCAATGCAATGTGTGTGTGCGTATGTACTCACACACACAAATATGCGCACACATATGTACGTATCTCTGCGAGTGTATGTGTGTGTAAAATGGAATACGTAAAAATTAGTCGGATCTTTAATTTTTTTTTTTTTTACTTTTGTGTTGACGTTTCGCTCTCAATGAGCATTATTAAAACAATTGAAAAAAAATCTAAGGAAAAAAAATCATTACCATTGACATGGTTAATTCGAAAATAATAGTCACCACTTTCTTTAAATGTAGGCGATTTATTTTTTCTCAACATTCTTTGATTTATAATATTTTTTAATAACAAATCCTCATATTTGTATTTTATTTTGATATATTTAACATATCACTTATATATAAGGATATGTGTATCATTGATTATTTCACGGATATTTTTCCTAAAATTTTTTCAGCAGCTGTTTTGAGAATGTTCGTAGAGAGCAAAACGTAAACAAGAAAAAAAACAAACTAAGTTGCTTTCACCTATGCCATGTTACTTGCTTTGTTCGAATATTTCATATCACACAAACACACACACATATATATATATATATATATATATATATATATATATATATATATATATATATATATATATATATATATATATATAAGTATATATTATATGAATAAAAGAAAGAAGAGGAAAGCTATACATTGCTTTGATAAAGTCCCTCACAGGACAAAAACGCTTTAGTTAAGTATAGTTTTTCCACTTGTCTCTTTTTATTCATTTGTCTCTTGTACAGGTACACTCCATCTGGGAATATTTACATCTATCTATCTATCTATCTATATATATATATATATATATACTGAGTGTATTTTGACAACATGATTTATACAAGTTTGGTTAAAGACCAACGAATGTTCATTGCTAAGAAAGAATATATATATATATATATATATATATATATATATATATATATATATATATATATATATATATATATATATATATCTCTCTCTCTCTCTATATATATATATATATATATATATATATATATATACATAATTACAATACCGTAGCATCAAATATAGTATATATATATATATATATATATATATATATATATATTTATATATATATATATACTGTATTTGATGCTATATATTGTAATTTAAAACAGAAACCCCTTCTGACTTTGACCTACCTGTCTATGAGGATATATCTATGAAAAATAGCACCTATAGCGTGGACTGGAATTTTACTCACCTTCTTGTAGATAATTCGCTATAATAACAGCTCAAAAATACATGTCAGTCTTATAACACTATAAATTAAAATAATATAAAATAATTAATGAACGATGGTATCACAATTACAATTACGCAGTGCTTTTTGTTTTGTTTTTTCGCAGATAAAAATGTACTCAACGAAAGATTTTTTCAGTTACTTTACGAACGCAAAACCGTCTATTTTGCCCTATTAGTTTATATAAATGGTTTAATACTGACTGCCTTAGCCCTTCTGACCCCTGTTAATAACAAACTCCCGACTTCAGAGAAAAAGTATCTTCCTTGTATTAAAATGATTTGTTTGACTTTAATAGAGACTGTTCAGTGGCACGCCTTTCAGGTGGCACCCCCTTCAAGTGGTGTCATAGGGCACGTATCCCTACATACATCAAAGTGATATAGGAAAATTTCCTCAAATATAAATATGAAAGTTTGATATTTTATCGAATTATTATTTAACATTAAATTGAAGATTC